ATCAAAACCCTATGCATATCCCCGTCTTGTTTGCCATTATCAAAAAGGGGGAAATTGTTGGAACACGCTTTATACGATAAACTAAAGTCGTGTTCATTTCTGACAGGTTTTGATAATTGCCAAACCGCCGTGGATATAAAGAGTTTCGTTGAATAACTCAAGGCGGGAAGAATGGCTTGGAACAAGACCTAAAAGACTCAAGGACAAGATCAGGAATTGAAGACTTAGTCGAGTCGGTCTTTTGTGATCAAAACCGACAATAAATTCAAGTCTTGGTTCGTGAGAAGTCTTCGAGTGCGGTATCTCCGAGCAAAGGTGTTGAGGCTCGTGTGACTCGGGTTCTCAAGTTGTATCGGTTTGTTAAGCACCCTTAAGCTTAACGGAGTTAGTGTAGCTCGAGAGAGTCTCTCGGGGGGCTGGATTAGCCACACGTTGTGGTGAACCAGGATAAAATCCGGTGTGCTCCTTCCTTACGCTCTTTACTTTAACGCTCTCATTTTAATTTCCTGCGATTTTGTTTTAAACGCTATTCACCCCCCTCTAGCATTGGGCCTTTATTCTAACACTCACCTCATACTCTTTCATAGTAGTCATCCCATGGAAAAGATTCCTGTTTGTTAATAATTTTTTCAAATAGAAGCAGAACCCATGCTTAGGTTGAATGTTCCAGATGGTTTCCTTCTTCAAGTATCTGTTGTAAATCCACTTGACCCACAAAATATCTTTTTTATTGGCAATGTCCCAAACAAGCTTTTGATTGCAGGCATAGTTCCAAAAATAGAGGTTCTTAGACCCCAAGCCACCATGTTTCTTTGATTTACAGGTTTCTTCCCAGCCGACTGGTGGAGCTCTGGTATACTCAGCCTTGGATCCCCATAAAAAGTTTCTACAAATATTTTGGATTCTTTGCATCACCTTAGAAGGGATGATGAAGTGCCTACTGCAGAAATTAATAACACCAAATAGAACTGTATTTATAAGCTTGCATCTCCCTGCATATGATAAACTTTTTGATGTCCAGGCAGTGATGATTTTACTCACCAAGGCTTTACATTCTCTAGCACTGATCCCGCTATTTGTAATGGGTCCTCTTAAGTATTTGAAAGGCAGTTCCCCTTTGGCCATCGTGGTCATATTCAGTAGCTCCTCTTCTACATGCATTTGCACACCTCCCATTACCATTTGGGACTTAATATAATTAACTTCCAACCCTGTAACTTCCCTGAAATGGTTAAGGCAGTCCAAAATGGTTTGAACAGAGTCTTTATCTGCTTTGCATAGCACTATTAGGTCATCATCAAAAGCCAGGTTAATAATTTTAAGATTTCTGCATTTAGGATGATAGCAGAATCCATTTTTTTGGGCAAAAACCTTTAATGCTCTAGTCAGGTATTCCATAACCAGTGTAAATAGGAGGAGGAGATTGGATCTCCCTGTCTTATACCTTTGCCTCCATTGAAAAACCCACACTTTCTCCATTCATCATAATAGAGTATGAGGTGCTGGAAATACAGAAGCAAACCCATTCAATGTACCTGGTTGGAAATTTCATGGCTTCAATGATCCCTTTTATAACTTTCCAGCTAATAGAATCGTAGGCTTTCCTAAGGTCAATCTGAAAGTTTGTGGGGGCGCAGCGGAAATCACCAATTAAGAACTATGCAAACAAAACAATCAACTTGTAACGCCACAAAATATGGCCTAAAATTTATTATAAAACAAAAGTAGTTTTTTTTCCAATAAGGAATATTTATACGTTTGACCAAAAATAAATGGATTTTCAAAATAATGACTTTTTGTTAAAAAGTTATTTTAATGGATATGTCCCGAAGAGACGGTTCCAACGGTACATTTTATGAATCAATCTCATTTATAAATTGCAAACTATGACAATTTTAAATATTAAAAATTGTAACTTTGACTCATAAAATAAACTCAATTCAAAAGAGATTTCTTAAGATTAGAAATCTAAATCTTGAACATTTCACAACACCATATTTATCTTTTGAATTAAATTCATATATTTTTATATCATTTATATTATTGAATTAATTTATGACTGAGACAGACCCGAACACTGAGAAAAATAAAAGTTCTCAGAAAAATATTTTGATTACGTCAAAATTCTAGTTTTGACAGTCTGTTTCCAAAAGCACAATCCGTTTTCAATTCGGAACAATTTAGGCGAACAAGAGCGTACCGTTTTAGCCAGTTTATCAGTTACGGAGTAGGAGAATATTTTAAAATCTTCAAAACTCCTTCAATCACGAGACCTTTTCTCCTTAGCTACCCCACTCCACTCCACTAACACTATAATCCAACCCTTCCTATATAATACTCCCACCTTTATTCCATTTTCTCCACCACATATTCATCATCAAACATCATCACCAATCATCCATCCATCATCTCTCCTCTTCACCTCTCTCTCTCTCTCTGTCGGTCAGGTACCAAGGAAGGAAAAAAGAGATTCCAACTCCATGATTTCATGTTAAGGAAGAAGAAGGAGCAAGAAGAAAGTAGCTAAAGTTTCTAAAATCTTGAGTTCAAACACAGCAGCCCACTTCTAGGTAAAAACTGAAATTTTCCATACATTATCTCGAAATACTTTCTGAACCAAAGTTGTAGCCCCAGACGATACAAATCCAGCCCAACAAACGGCTCGTGATTTCGTTAAGTAACGAAGAAGATATGACCAAAATACCGGGACTGCGCCAGTGGTGGCGAGCTCCTCGGGTTGGACCATTTTCTTCACCAAATTCATATTGTTTCATTC